ATATATATATATATATATATATATATATATGTATTTATATATGTGTATTACTTCGAGCTAGATATCAATTATTTTTCTTGCAGTTGAAAGTTCGTTTATATCTCACCCCTACGGTTAATGAATTAAGAAAAGACATATGATTACCAAATCATGGTTAAATTATATGTTTAGTCTCTATGCATTAATCATCACGTTAGTGTCAACTTGATTTTTAATACTGCAATGCTTTAACTTTTTTTTCATTAGAGCTTATGTATAAACCCTTGACATTATTGAGGAATAATATAAATCCAATGAGTTATATTTTACGTTGTGATGGATCATATTAGAAAATTATGAGATTTTGAGTTTTCATCATTTGTTACTAATTTAGCCACGAAAATGGAATGGAATGAAATAAAAAGGTTTTGAGTTCTCCCTCGACTAGAACAATCAATCTAGAACAATCAATCTATGTGAATTTTTTAGTTGGTCCAAAAAATTCTCCACTCAACCTAACTCAACCAGTATATACCCTTATCTATTACGACTTACTACTCAAGACAACAACCTTACATTACCTTACATTACCTTACATTGATTAAAAAATATGAATTTGGACCATGTTTCTTCTATTTAAAAAAGAAATATATTCCTTTTGTGAAAGGGACACTATTTTTTCCCCACTTGCACCAATTTTTTGTCTAATGCAATTTAATTGTAGTACCATAAAGCTTGGTAGAAAATGAAATATGACCAAATAACTTTTAACATATCTTGATAAAATTTCTTAGGGGTCGTTTGTTTCATGGAAATTCGAGATTCTCGTTGAATGGACATCTTGATTCCCATGTTTGTTTTGCGGGAATGTAAGATATCTGGAATCTTGAGATGTCCGGATATCCTAGGATGTCCATATGAGATGCATTTTACGGGTTTTGGACGCCTTTTTGAAACACGGGTTTCCAAGATTCCCGTGTTGAGGACATCTACTTTTTACATTTTTTTGCATTTTTTGCGCTTCATTTTTTTCCATATATTTTCTTTCATCAATCTTTTTAAAATTTTAATATTTTACACTTCTTATTTTATTATTTTAAATTTATAATTAAAATAAATTAATGTACTCATGACTAATAAACAACTTTATACTATTAAATATATTTGTACATTAGATTTACATGTAAAAAAAATTGCAATTAAATTATATAATATCTTCATTTATTTTTAATATTTTGAAGGAATTATATTATTAATAATATTTATTATCATAAATATATAATCAAAATTTATTTTACGCCCAACATATGTGTGATATTTTTACTCTTAAAAAAATATCACCCAAGATAGCATAATGTGATGATAGGATAAATAATTCCACCCAAGATAGCATAAATTATATGATTGTCTTTTTGGAAAGCTATTAAAGTTGAAAATGAAATATATATTAAGTTAATAGGAATTAATTTGTTGTACAAAATAACATATAAAAAAATTTAAAAATTAAATTATTTCAATCCTAAAAAAAAACAAATTTCACTATCCAAATATTTCTTGATATCCTTGTAAATTCCCCTACGAAACAAACGTGGTATCCTTATAGATTTTTTTCCTTTTAGTTTTCAAATTAGGAGGGTTTGAGTTTTGTAATATATATTTTTTACTCAATTCAATCATTTTGGTTATAGATTTCTAACCCAAATAACCGTTATTAAATTACGAACTGAACCCAATTTCGTTTGATTTTATTGGATTTCAATAAAGCCTCGCATATGTTAGGTAGATACATATAACTTTTTCAAATGTGTCTTTTAACTATTGAAACTTCTAAACAACTAACCAAATTCTATATGATTTGGATTTGGGTTTAAAAGAATTTGGATTAGAAATATAAATGAAGTGAATTTTGATTTAATAATAAATTTATATTATTATATATTATCGTAAGTTGGGTTGGTTCAGCTTGTGGACTTAACAATCAAACCATCTAACTGGTTTTATAAAAATGAACCCGATATCTAACTCTAATTAGTTTTCAACCCAACTTAAAACGTATGAGTTGGTTGGATGGCTATGATTTTTCAAATTGTCTGAATTTTTTTTTAATTCCCTATTTCAGATTTAAGCCATATTTCAAAAATAAAAAATATATATTTTGTTTGAAAAATTGTGGGTAATATTTGGATTTTTTTTTTAAATAATTACTTTTTAAAAACAAATGACAAACGTATGCTAGGATCAAAACTAATTCCAAAAATAGGGTAGGTAAATCGCAGCCGTTGGCTGTGATTTCACGAAATTGCGGCCGTCAACTGCGATTTAGGACGAAATCGCGGTCCTAGGCCACGATTTCACTGAAGTCGCRGCCAACGACTGCGACTTCGGTTTGACGTGGCTCCACGTGTAGCCAACRRCTGCGACTTCAGCGGAAAAAAAAAAAGGAAAATATGTGGAAGTCGCGTGCGTTGCATGCGACTTCAATAAGAGGAAGTTGCGTACATCGCCTACGACTTCCACGTCAACGACAACCCACCCGCCACATAGATAATACACGTTGCACGGAAGTAGTGTCCATTGTATGCGAGTTTTGACCCCTCCTTTGACCTAACCCATTTTTGTCAATAGTTTCAAAAACCTAAGTTACTTTTGTATTTATTTATTTAATTTACATTTATTTAGTTATTATTTTTAAATTAACATTATTTTTGTAATTTCTTTTTAAAATGTCATTATTTTAAAACTTAACCCGTAATATTTCATATTAAAAGACAAACAAAATTATGATGACACGATTCCAACATGATTTTTAAAAGCAAAAAACTAAATAATCATATAAGCTTCGAGTGGAAGGTTAATTAAAAGTAGTCAAGTAACCAACTAAAATCAATTATTTTAGATTGTCTCATTTGTTATCATATGATATGTAATAATAATATTAATCAAAAAATTCAATGGATACGGAGAAGAAATACACTTTAAATTGAAAGTTTTTGTGGACTGGACACTTAAACCTTGTTTTATTAACTACTTCACCGTGCTATTTCAGGTTAATTTATAACTCATTAATTTATTATTTTTTTGATACAACAATTTGAAGATATGGAAATCATAATGATTGGTATAGAACGTGCTACTTGTTAAAATTAAAATTGAAAATTTGATTTTTTAAAAAATTCAGGAATTATATAAAACGTTAAGAGTCTTTTTATGATATTAAGTCTAGGTGGTGTTGAACCCGACTTATTCATACTAGTCATCTTGGAGCTATGAGTAAGAAACTAATATTGCCAACTCTTCCATAGTCATGAGTCAGAACAATGTTCACCAACTCTTCCATAGTCATCTTGTTCATATATCGAAAAAGCTTTTGAATATGAGTTTCCATTGTTATATTAAAGTGTTTTGTAGCGGAATATAATGATTAGACGGTAGAATCGTTAAAAATACAAATTTCTTCCATAGGAACAAAGTTTTTAAATGTCAATGTAAATGAAAATATCGATGTCTCAACTTTATACAAATATCAATAAAAATATTGATAAAATATCGATGTGATTAGATATTTTTAAAAAAGTTATAGAAATAAAAAATTCATAACAATCATGTAAATTAACAAATAAACAGATATTTTTGAGTAAAAATACTATATAAATATTTCTTCACTCCTCGTGTCAATATATCCGATTCACGAAAAATTCGATATTAAAAAATAAGGTTGGAAATGGGCATAAAAAATTAT